GCAGGCTACCGCTCAGATTGCGTAGCAATGTGGTATGTAACCATTTCTACACAGATTGCGCGTAGCAATGGTTACATACCACAAGGTTTCCATTGCTCTTCGAAGTTTACGAAAAGTAGCCCAACTCGCGATGACAATAAACTATCCCTGTGCATGCCTTACATTTCCGATAAATTTAGTGCAGCAATAAAACAATGCATAACGCGAGCACAACTGCAGAATGATGTTATACTTGTGAACATTCCGAGTGAGAACATCAAGAAGCGGTTGGTAAGAAATAGGCTCTACGACGCAGAATGTTTGTCGGAGCATTGTGTTGTCTGTCCATACGGAAAAGTAGGCGATTGCGCAAAGGCTGGAGTAGTGTATGAATTGGAATGCTTGAATTGTAAGGCGACATATATCGGAGAAACGGGTAGATTGCTGAACGTCAGACTCAAAGAGCATTTAGCGGCTATGAGACGAGCGAATGCGATGTCACCTTTGGGAAGACATAGAATTGAAACGCACAACGGCGGTGAATTTGGCGTTAAATGTACTATCTTGTCATACGAGGCAGAGATTTCAGTGAGAAAGACCGTCGAAGCAGCGTGGATTTCTCTTTGAAATCCTAGCATGAATAACAGAAACGAATGCGTATCGATAACAACCGAACTCTTGCCTATTTTAACGATCTGTGAGCGGTAGCCTGCCCGTATATAAGTGTCGACCGCTGAGCAAGAATCAGTGTAGTCTGTCTCTCCAGTGCGGCTACGTACTGACTCTACTGACTCTCACTAACACAACGGTGGATTAAGGTTCGTTTCTCATCGCGTGTCCCAGTACGTTGATTGCGGGACGGGGTCTAGACTCGGCAGTGCGGGGAGGCGTTTGGCGGTCTGGTCTTGCAAAGATAATACTGCAATCTACTTTCAGGCCTCCGACGAAGACGAATTTGTCGAAACGTAAGGCCAATAAAGAATTCCACCGTACAAACCTGGCACTGGCATAACATAGTATAGCCACTAAATCAAAAGTGTTTCCTTACAATTATTCAGAGAGCGTCGCTCTGTTAGCCTTATACTAGATGATTGATTACGCATTCAACTACTTTGAAGCACAGTCTTCATAGTTCAGCCGTCATAAATGCCCAAACATTGAAAAATACCGAGAGCTAATTCTCAATGTCGATTATTTGACTTGCCTTTGGCTATCCAGTAAGCGAACTTATAAGAAAAAATCCTATCAGGGAATTTTCCCATATAATTTTGATCTTGTAATAGTGAAATAAAGATATTCGCGAACATGAGTATGCTGGACATTCTGTCCCTGAATAAGCAAAATTTTTGCTCTTACGGATCTATGGTATAGTGGGAAAATAGCGCTTTAGTACTCAGGTTGGACGAGGAAGTGACATATATGGGACAAATTTGGTAGCACACTCAGCTTTCCGCCATCTTTGCTCCAAATGAAAGAAATGCCGATCAAACGCGGCTCAGATTGAGCCAATTAGCCCAAGACTTTTGTATAGCTACAAGCCTAATACTGTTGTTGCCCCCAAAACTTCAGCGCTGCAGCTTTTTTGGAACCCGAGGTGTAGAAAATTAGGAACCAGCAGTGTTGAAATTCCTGGATTTCAGAATCGGGAATATAAAGTGAACCCATCAGGTTCAAAATTTATAATAGTAAGTAGTTAGCTTGGTGGTATGTACCTGCACGATTTAAGCGCTCCAGCTTCATTTATAGCCGACCCATAAGTTCGTGAAATTTCGTGCAAAAGTATTGTCACTCCTCTGAGGAATTTACATTACTAACAAGGAAAGGATACTCGGTGACTGTGGCCATTTGGAATGCGATGTACACCATAAGATGCATCTCGAAACGCTGATTCTCAATCAGAGCTCGATTTCTGCGAAACGATCTTTTAAAGGAAGTTATGAACTTTTTTTCGTAGAAAACCTGCGTATTTGGGATAGTTAAAATCACCAAGTTTTTCTAGGCTATTTTTTCAAGCTATTGAAGCGAATCTTAAAAGGAATTTGTTGTGTTATACCTATCTAAATCATATTCAACTTTTGAAAAGGAAAGAAAATTTTTTATTGATGACTTTGACCCTCCGCAATAGCGCAATTTATTCAAGGCGCATTTTTTGATATACAAATCATTACGAGTGGCAACGGTCCTCAAGGTACCCTTCCTTGTAAGTAAAAACTAGACGGCGGGCATTTTACCATAAACTTGAAGAAGTATTAGGTTGGCACATAAGTAATGCAACTTTTTATATAACTTTTGTCTCTTTGAACGTAGCGCATTCATTTTTTGGCAATATAAGGATTATGATGTAAGCTTCTAACGCAAACATTTTTGCCGAATTTTACTATCCTATGTAAGGATTACGGTAGGTATACCGTACTATAGGGAAAAGTTTAGAATGCAGCAGATTTTGCTGAAACTTGACCTATAGGACTTATTCGACATGTTGATCACAAAAATGAGATCCGTTTCGCATGAAAAGGCCTCGTTCATGAGATCAAAAAATGAATTTCATTTAGCTACAAATGAATATGATATTCGCGTTCACCGTATAGGATTACCCTACATTGCAAAGTTATAGCGAATTCTGAATTTTCACAGCTTAGTTATTGACAAATTGCCTTCAAAACTTGACGCATTTGACTGCTTCAACTTCTCAAAGGGGCCCCACCTTAATTTTTGAATTTCATTTCTTCTTTACTGATTCCAATGTGTCCACTTCTAGCTACATGTTGCTTATACTTGCTTTTTGATAAGTTTAATTCAGGTTTCGTAGGGCTTCATGTTTCCCAAAAAACCGTAAAACATCGATTTTCAGCAGTTTTCAAAATCTGCTTAGATTTTTTGTACTACGTTATCAAAAATCAAACGGTTTGCGCAGACTTGCAATCTACATGATGCCACAAAATGAGATTGCTATATAAAATGAGAGAAAAGTTACGAGAAAAGTTGCAAAACTTATGTGCCAACCTAATATTATGCACATAATTCAATTCAGGAATGCAATTTTATAGCGATGTATATAGATCTTTACAAAGATGTGTTTATTGTAGCCGTTATTGCTATTGTAGACACAATTACTATATTCAAGGTCCATATAGTCAATGTTCAGGTTTGGAAGATTTTTGGATATGATTATCAAAGCGACGTAATTATTTCCTTTCAGATGCGTAGAAGTGGGACAATAAATGGCGCACATCATCGAAGGAACAAAGAAATCAATTTCCTAAAACAGGTTCAATTTTTCTAAATTTTACCCGTTTGTTTCATTTTCTCCCTTAGGCCGTCCTGCAAGCCATTATATTTGCCATTGAACTCTACACATATTTCCACCTTGCCTGGCACTTCCAAAACAAATGGGTTATTTTTGGATTGACGACAATAGTGTGGAACTTAACACACTGTTGCGATGCGTGGGTTTCTGCACTTACAATCAGAGCTCGTTTGATGACGATAATGCTTGTACCGTTAGACGAACCAAATATTTCAGACTGATTATTATTGGCTTGAATGCGGAATTCCGAAAGTTCTTCACCACGAAACGTATGTCATTAATAGCGCCTGGCTAGACACTGCTGATTAGAGAAAATCAAATCATTACAGCTAATAAGATAAACAGCAATGGGGCACGTATAGCAACGATCGACAAACTTAGCGAGAGAAGGAGTATCTTATAACGTACTTGATTGTGTTAATTGCTAGTGTATAAAGTTAGTAAAGTGCAGATGCATCATAAAAAATGGAACTCGTCTTTTGTTGAATCTGTGCAATCGCAATCATTCTAAATTTTTGCTCACAACCGTTGTGTTATGAAGAACTCGACATGCATTGCTAAATCTCCAAACAAGGCACGTAGAGCTGACAGAATCAATCATCTATTTGCGCGTCAAAGGCCACATACGGCGTCAAAGCGAGGCCGTTGTTACCAAAGACGAAGTCAAGCGCAATTTTCCACGAATTGTTCTGCCAGGTTCAAGAAAACACGTAATCAGTAGTTGTTCCAAAAAAATACAAAAAATCCAAAAATCGACCAAAACTTATTGAATCCAAAAAAAGCCAAAATGCCGTGTATCACACTATGAGTGCTAAACATCAGGTATTCTCAAAGCCTGCAGTACATCTATTGATGACAACTTTCTACGAAATTCAGCCGAATTTCTGCAAGAAGTGACCTCAAGTGGTAACTGGCTGAGCCATCTAGCAGTACGGCATGCAAAAGAATTAAAGCCTTTGAAAACAACTTTCCCCCCAGTTTACGGTAACCTAGGCCAAAATCACCTGTTCTGCCACAAAGTCGGAATATCCAGTAGCGACTTGGAGTCAATCTGGTCTCAAGACGCAAAATTCTGTAGCAAAATACTAGGTCATTACATACTCTTCTGTACTTTAGACTTCGCAACTTGAGAGTAGACAGCCTAGAATTATAGGGTGGCAATGACCTAGGGTAATTGGGATCGGGATAGCATCTGTAGTAAACAATTCTAGTGAAAATCTTTTGCACTTTCTCTAGTTTGTCAATGTTCTTCTTCAAAAATGGGTTCCAAACAGGGGATGCATATTCTAAATGCGGAAGCACGTAAGTCTTATAGAGTCTAACCAGGAGCATTGCATCATTACTATAAGTACTTCTTAGTATGACAAAAAGGGCTGAGAGAGCTTTCTTTGAAATCGAGTCGAAATGAAGAGAAAAATCCAATTGTTTATCCAAGACAACTCCTAAATCTTTAGTACTACTAAAGTGCTCCAAGTTGACCCCGTCCAAAGCATAAGTAAAGCATGTAGAGTTTCCAAGTTGTAAAACTTTCGTTTTTGAAGCGTTAACTGGAAGATTCCATTTTCTGGACCACAAGTTCATCCTATCAATAGCTGAGGATATTGCATTGTAAGCTTCAAGCTGCTCTTTACTTTCGTAACAGAAATAGATTTTGATCTCGATTAGCTAGATATTTCTTGATGTGATTACTAATATCTCTACAAACTTTTTTGTATAAATGATTGCTCAAAGGGTCATATAATTGCGAGAATACAATACCGCTCATAATTCGTCAAAAAAGTCGCCGGACTGCGGCGCACTCCGCCACACTCTGCCGCAGTGCGCCGGAGTGTGGCAGAGTGCGCCGGAGTGCGGCAGAGTGCGCCACACTCCGCCGCAGTGCGCCGGAATGATCGTCAATTTAGCCATATCTCGCTTCAGAATGGACGAATTCTGAATCCGAGGACACCGTTCGATTCAGCTCGACGAGACGCATCATCTTATATATGAAGCTGAACGTCTGTTTGTCTCTTTGTCTGTACGTATGTTCCGAATAGAAAAATCCATTTCTGAACCGATCCGGACCAAACTTGGCACACCTACACTTCGGGCACCGGCGGGTGTCATAGGCTACTTTTCGTCATCGATCGATATCGATTTTATCGATTTTTATCGATTTTTTTGCAGAGTTCACCTACGGGGCTGGGAGTTTGCATAGGGGGGGGGGGGTAATCGAGCATGGGGATTCCGAATACAATATTAGTTTTCAGATTATCGATTATTATTTTGGTTGAATTCAGTGTGCTGATAACAGTATTACCATTGATCTGTCGCTGATGACACATAGACAGTATACTATAGGAGTATGGTAGAGAGCCACTCTGATCGAATTTGTTCTAAGATCTGCTCAAGATCACAATACCGCGCACAGAATGTCAAAATTTCCGTGAACTTCGCGGAATTCCGGGATTTCCACAAAAGTGCGCGATAATCCGGGAAGTTCGCGACATTTCAGGATCCGCGAAACCATGCGAATCACGCAGAGTACACAACGCCATAACATCCTTCGGAATGAATATATTCCGAATCCAGAAGCAGCATTGTGTTCAGATCGTTGAGGCAAATATTTTGATATACAGTATGCTCTCGATATTCAATTTCCAGTTTTTTCGAATTTTTTCTGTGGAGGTCTTTTCGCAAGGATGTAACGCAGCGTCTGTGTAACATAAAAGATTCCAGTAAGCACTGTTCGATAGTACTGTCCTTGTAGGTTATCGTGCGTTTAAGAGTAGCTGCAGACTGTCTCTCAAAAGAGACAGAAGCGTTGGTGAATTTTGGAAAAATCACGCGTTTCTAAATTCTACTCGCCGTAGCTTCCTTCGGAATGAACATATTCTGAATCCGAAGAAAGCTTTGTGCTCAGTTCATCAAGGCAAATCTTTCGATATACAGCATATCCTTGATATTCCAATTTCAATATTCTCAAATCTTTCTGTAGACGTCTTTTTAGGTGTAAAGCAGCGCGCATTGCTCCTAGTAGACTCCAGCAAGGACCTTTCGATAGTACTTTCTTTGTAGATTACGCAGCGCTAAAAAGTAGTCACAGGCATCTTTCCATAGGAGTTAGAAGGGCTGGTGAATTCTGGAAAAATCATGTCGTTCTAAATTTTTCTCAACGTAACTCTAAAATATGAAGCTCTCTTGCTAAGCAGATGTGATTTTCGTAATCAGCAGGTCGGATAACCCTTATAAGCAAGTTTTCCAAGATGTTCGAGTAATTTCATTTTTTCTCGTTTTACGCTCTGAAGCTGCCTGATGGATTTTGGTCAAAATGTTCATGCTCTTAAATTGTAAGGAAACTTCGCTTATAGAGGTTTTCGAATACGCTCTTTACGAAAATCGTGGTCTTTGAGGATTACAGGGTCTTCTTGGAGAGATACGGTGAGGTGACTGTAACTGCATCACGAAAGCTCGTAGCTTCGCCTCCAGCTCTTACTTGTCTGTCAAAGAACCTGCCTGCTTGCTTTACTAGTCAAAGTTACTAGGAGATGTGCTATCGAATGGCGCAAGACTCAGGCTCCAGTCCATAAAATTCGCCGAGTTACGAGCCTACGAAAACACGTTCTCATGAATTTTGCTCAAAATGTAAAGATCGCAGATTTCGTCGAAATTCCACCGTGAGTGCTTGTGTGACACTCGCATTGCGGATATTATGTTCGCTTCGCTCAATAACTCCACTGTATTGAGTATGGTGCTTGCGTGTGAAACTTCGCTTCGCGAGAATTCTCATGAATTTTGCTCAAAATGTAAAGATCGCAGATTTCGTCGAAATTCCACCGTGAGTGCTTGTGTGACACTCGCATTGCGGATATTATGTTCGCTTCGCTCAATAACTCCACTGTATTGAGTATGGTGCTTGCGTGTGCTTCAGCAATTGATATCAATGCTGTTTTGTGGCTAGAGCTCAAATCACCAAATCTCACAATAAGATCCATTAAGAATGTGAAAAGATTTGATCAGCGTATTGTACAAGCACTCATGGTGGAATTTCGACGAAATCTGCGATCTTTACATTTTGAGCAAAATTCATGAGAACGTGTTTTCGTAGGCTCGTAACTCGGCGAATTTTATGGACTGGAGCCTGAGTCTTGCGCCATTCGATAGCACATCTCCTAGTAACTTTGACTAGTAAAGCAAGCAGGCAGGTTCTTTGACAGACACGTAAGAGCTGGAGGCGAAGCTACGAGCTTCCGTGATGCAGTTACAGTCACCTCACCGTATCTCTCCAAGAAGACCCTGTAATCCTCAAAGACCACGATTTTCGTAAAGAGCGTGTTCGAAAACCTCTATAAGCGAAGTTTCCTTACAATTTAAGAGCATGAACATTTTGACCAAAATCCATCGGGCAGCTTCAGAGCGTAAAACGAGAAAAAATGAAATTACTCGAACATCTTGGAAAACTTGCTTTAAGGGTTATCCGACCTGCTGATTACGAAAATCACATCTGCTTAGCAAGAGAGCTGCATATTTTAGAGTTACGTTGAGAATAATTTAGAGTGACATGATTTTTCCAGAATTCACCAGCCCTTCTAACACCTATGGAAAGATGACTGTGACTACTTTTTGCGCTGCGTAATCTACAAAGAAAGTACTATCGAAAGGTCCTTGCTGGAGTCTACTAGGAGCAATGCGCGCTGCTTTACACCTTCACAAAAAGACGTCTACAGAAAGATTTGAGAATATTGAAATTGGAATATCAAGGATATGCTGTATATCGAAAGATTTGCCTTGATGAACTGAGCACAAAGCTTTCTTCGGATTCAGAATATGTTCATTCCGAAGGAAGTTACGGCGGCTAGAATTTAGAAACGCGTGATTTTTCCAAAATTCACCAACGCTTCTGTCTCTTTTGAGAGACAGTCTGCAGCTACTCTTAAACGCACGATAACCTACAAGGACAGTACTATCGAACAGTGCTTACTGGAATCTTTTATGTTACACAGACGCTGCGTTACATCCTTGCGAAAAGACCTCCACAGAAAAAATTCGAAAAAACTGGAAATTGAATATCGAGAGCATACTGTATATCAAAATATTTGCCTCAACGATCTGAACACAATGCTGCTTCTGGATTCGGAATATATTCATTCCGAAGGATGTTATGGCGTTGCGTACTCTGCGTGATTCGCATGGTTTCGCGGATCCTGAAATGTCGCGAACTTCCCGGATTATCGCGCACTTTTGTGGAAATCCCGGAATTCCGCGAATTTCACGGAAATTTTGACATTCTGTGCGCGGTATTGTGATCTTGAGCAGATCTTAGAACAAATTCGATCAGAGTGGCTCTCTACCATACTCCTATAGTATACTGTCTATGTGTCATCAGCGACAGATCAATGGTAATACTGTTATCAGCACACTGAA